TATGCCGAAGACGGGTGCAGCGGGGGTAGGAACCCAGACTGCGGGTTATATATATATTGTAGTTATGTGTATATATGTTTTATTAATTATAAATAATTTTATTTTTAATATATATATATATATATATATATTTATTTATTTATATATATATGTGAATTTATATGCATATATTAATTTAAATACATGTAGATGAATATTTGGATATTTAATAATATTTTTGAATGATGAGTGAGCAGTTTTTTGCTGAGTCAACAGTTTTTTTTTGCTGAGTCCGTAGTTTTTTGTTGAGTCAGCAGTTGGGTTTATTTGATTTGGAAAAAATTTAAAAGGCTAGGTATTTATATGGGAGTTTTGAAAAGTTTAGGTATTTATATGACAATTTTATAGTTCAGGTATTTATTTGGAATTTTTGTAAAAATTCGGGTATTTTTATGTGATTATCTCTTTTTTTTTACAAGAAGTGTATAAAATATAATAAATTGGTTGATATATAAAAATCATTCAATCTCGTATGTTAATTTTTTAATTAACAATATACAAGAGAACGAACCAAACTTGGCGAAGATGACATTGTATCACATTATTTTTCCGTTTTATACAATATATATACATACATACATATATATATATATATATTGGAAGAGAGAGAACATCCAAATTATTAATCGTAGAAACGACATCTCATAATTCAAACGATCGGTCGGGGAGAATCTCACAGTCGATTCTCCGGCAAGCCGATGAACAGATCGGTTTCGACCTCCGGTGTCCGTCGGCCTCCTCCACAGCCGGTGGCTGCAGCTTTATCCCTTTGTTCGGTCTCGAACATCGTCCATCGCCCTTCTCCATACTGATAAGAAAATATATATAACATTCGTCATATTCGCTATATAATGCTATATATTTTCCATTATTAGACGTGAACATATTATATATATATATATACGTACACACATTGTGTATATCCATGATACCCATCATCATTTTCATATACAAGTAAACACAACAGAGGAAAAAAAGTAATCAATTAGCGTAGCAAATTAAAAATAAAAAATAAGTATCAAACTAATTGTAGATAAATCAATTTGTGTGATTTATATTATATATGCATAGTATTTTATATACCTATGTTATATAAACATATACAAGGAATCAACATTCTCAACTCAAAACCATCATCAAAAAACAAGACTATGCTCTAATTCATCTTTGTTGATAATTTATATTTTGAATCCTTTGTCTGAGATCAGTTACACATACTTCCATATCGCTTCATATAAATTGAAGGTAAATATTAATATACTCGTACATATCTGTAATATAGTTTTACGTAAATGGAAATAAATAGAATCGTACCTTTATGCGTAGTCTTGCTCGCTCCTCCAAGAGCTCTCTTTCCTGCATTCGAAATGTACAAAAGATCGACAAAATCGCACGCCAAAACGCGAATCATCTAATGATAATTCTCGTATCTACGAACAAAAGACGAATAACTAAAACTGTTATCACCTTTGCCTTAAGTTTCTCCAGTTGATCTTCATATAACTGAGCCTACCAAATCAATAAACCGATACAAAGCTCAAAAAATAAGCAAAACAAAAGAAGAAGCAATGAAGATGAATCTTTGATGGTAAAGGGGTTGGCCTGAACTTTTAGTGTTTCATGAAAGCATTATAGTATGTGTCGTATATAGATAGATCAAGATGTGTGTGTATATATATATATATTAATAAATTAAACATCCTTATAGTCGTTATGGTTAGACGTACGCATAATTATGCCTAGCAATATGAAATGAATTCTTGTATGGTACCTTTCTTGATCTTACAATATGAAGGCTTTTCTCGATCTGGCTGGCGATCTCATGAAGTTCTTCCATGGAACACGAAGACAAATCTTGTCCCATCAGCTTCCTTAACATATCCAAGCGGACGGATTTACGTCCACACGGTTTTAAAAATCAAAACTTCCGACCGAATCTAGGAACCAATCGATCCATGCTAAAAAAGAAACAAACCGTTGATGAATTTCGAGGAGCTCAATCTTCTTCACCATTCCCACCATTTCTCCCCTTAGTTTCTGTATGTCCATACCAAATATACATAGAGTTACACAAAATAGGCCAAAGATCGAATTTTAACGATATATTCAGCTTATGAGTTATGACATAAATTTGTGATTTTTAGTACAGTTGAAGAGAAAATCGGTTAAACACTTAATCATGTAAGTAGATCAAGAATATAAATTAACGTTGATGGCGTGAACCTGAACGTATCGCTCTACGTCGAACGTCTCTGGTACAAACTCTTTCGTATACCTGCCATATCGTTGGACCGTTTTCTGCATGCTGAAATACATTTTTTCAATGATAAACGCTTTCATTAGTGCCATTTAGATAAAAGAAATCGGACCAAAGAGAGGACTATATATGTCAAAGATCATCTATACAGTTATTGATAAGATTTACACGATACAATACATGGATCTCATAATATTTTTCAAGATCCGATATATCTCAACAGACCATTGTCAAAAATGAGTGAATATATATGCATGTATAAACTGCCGTGGTCCACAACAACACCATGGTATAGATATGTATGTATATATACTTCTCTCGCTTGGCAACTCTCCTGTCATTCTTGCAATTAATAACAATTAATATGGACAGGTTCCCAATACATACATACACAGATAGTATGTGTAATGAATGAAGAACACTATAGGCATATTAACAAGTAATGGAATCATAAGTTTTCTCAATGATCACTGCATGAGAATCTATTCTGTATAATGCATCTATCACTTGGCAACTCTCAATGATTTCTTTGACATTGGATTTTGGTGGATACACAATGAATTAGATTTCTCAAGAAGATTGGTATATATGGAATGCAAAGAGGGACAAAGCAATTGGAACGTGAACACTATGAAACGTTAGATATTGATTTATATGAAAAAAGTTCGTTCAAGCTTATTCCATTATAGAAACATAACAGCATAAAGTATTTTATTTTGTGCTATTTTAATTTTTGAACGGTTTGAAATCAAGAGAAACCAAAAACACTCGAATATAATTTGTTTTTATTTTAATATTTTACCAAAAAATTGTTTGTCGTTTGAGCTCAGCAAGAGAGTTCCAATGTACTAGGTTCGGCGTTCAAAACGCTTTTGTCGCAAAACCCTATATCACTTGCTCGTGCTCGAAAAAACACCCACTGAGCAAAAGCCAAATTGCAACTTAGTAATCGAATTTGCATGTAATAATAATAAAAAATAAAACCCTTTTGATCAATTAATACATATGAGATTAGGTTTAATTCCCAGAATAGGGACAGATTCACATTGAGAATATAGGAAATAATTAAATTGAGATGTGAAAAGAAAAGGGGGAAAATCAATTTTAGCTGCAATAAACAACAAGTTAGGAAAATCTTTTACGTGTATCTTCGAAAATCTTTAGTACGATCTGGTCAGGAGAAATATGAATACGAAAACGTACGTGTATACGCACATACATATATACATACACCAAACATAAACAAGATCAAAGAAAGATGGATCATTTGTACGAAAAGATGAAAAAGTTTTGGGTTAAAAAAGAGGAAATTACGGTAATCTTACTCGGAGCTAGAGAATTCGTATAGTCTTCCTTTCTGGGAGAAGACGATGACGGCAACTTCTGCATCGCACAGGACTGAGAGTTCATGAGCCTTCTTCAAGAGACCGTTTCTACGCTTCGAGAAGGTCACCTGTCTGCTCGTCACGTTTTCGATTCTTTTTATCTCGATCTTTCCTCTCACCATCTCCTGCAAATTTTTCCGAGAAAATTCGATTTGAAACCCTAATTGACCTGAAAAACTTTCTTGGTGGGAGAAACTGAGAGTCGGAGGGATTTTAAGACAACGCCGGAAAACGGTTGCCGGAGAAAAAGAAAAACGAGAACCCGAGATTCCAAGATTAGATCAGTTGGACCCAGAAGTCAAAGATGGAAACTTTCCCGGAAAATGTAGCAAAATCAGGGAAAGTAATGAAAACCCAGATAACCCTCTTGCTGGATTTGTCAAGATTTACCTCAAAATCAACACACTCACCAAGAAAACCCCATTAGAGAAAGATCAAGAATGAAAACTAAAGGAAATTAAGAAAACGATGAGAAACCCTAGAGATCAGAATCTTGATACAAAAGAGGAGTAGAGTCTCTTGGCGTGTTTACCTCTGTGTGTGCATAAGCCACAAACCCTAAATCTTTCCCTGCTTCCGCCTCTATGATTTATCGGACGAAAATGGAAAAATAAAAAAGAAAGGAACTGTGTTACTTTGGTGATGTTTTTTCTATTACCCCACAAAACAGGAAGAGAGAAGAAAAAAAAGAATCAAAGAAGGTATTGATTATGGAATAAAAAAACAGATCGAAATAAAATACTACCAAATACAATTTTTGTGACAGAAAATGTCTTTGAGTTTTTATCTTTTTTTGGTAAAATTAAGAATAGATATCTCTAAAGGAAAGTAAGAGGCCAACACTAAAACAGAAAAATAAAATAAAATAAAATAAGTAAATCTTGCTCCACTTAGTTATTATTTTATTTGTTACATATATTCTGCTCCTTTCAATTTCCTGCAGTAACATAATTATTTAACTGCAGTAAAACTAAACAAAAAATTGAACTTATATTTGTTGAGTTAAACTTGATTTTAGGTTAAGTTTTTATTTTAGATCAATTCCTTTTTGGAAAAGTTTAGTTTAGATCATTGATAAAAAATCAATAAATTAGATCAAATTCAAAATAATTTAGGATCAAATTTCTAAAAAAATATAGAAAAAAATCTAGAGATTTCATTAGAAAATTTTAGATATTATGAGAAAATATGTAGATATTCTGATAGAAAATATATATTAGAACAATTTATTTAAAATCTTTATATTAATACTATGGGATTATAAATATATAATTGTTTTTCCAATTTCCTGCTAATATTTTTTGTAATTTTTCGAGTTTTCTTTGAATTGCGTGGTCTAGCAGTGACAATTTTTTTAATTTCTTCTTATAATGTTATTCATTATATGGTTGAAATAATCGAGAAAAACTTAAAGCGAAAAAAAAATTGAATTGGTATGATTTATTATTAACTACTCAAATTCCGTTAGGTTTATTTTATATATAACCAATCGAAAGTATCATCAATAAATTTTATTTTATTTTACTTTTATCAATAATCTCCTATTTGTGTGAAAAAGGAGAAATAGAATAACCCAACAAAACATACCAAAATTTTTCGGTAAAAAAAAAATGTTTCAGAGAAAAACATAACGATTCTTTTTTTTTTCACATAACAGATGCTCCAGATGAGGACTATGAACACAAGATTGTTTTGGACTGCTTAAAATTGTTTAACAAAAGATTACGAAATTTTGTAATCAAGCAAAAAATGCATACATGTTTTTATACATATATTTTTTTTACCACAAAACAATAAATAAAATTTATAACCGAATATTATATTTTCCGAAATTGTAACATCGATGAATAAAATGAGATGAGAAAAATTCAAGATATTATTATAGATAGGCGCATATAAATTAGACAGATGAGTCTGACCGGTAAGAGAATAGTATCTTTGATTGGCGCGTCGACATCATCGTACAATGACGTGCACTAAAAACCAATCAAATTTCGCCACGTTGATTCCTCTTCGTCCAATCACAGTCCACTTCTGTCCTTCCACTGCGTCGTCTTCTCGTTTATGTTAAAATTTTTAACCTTTTTCTTTTATGCGTTTATGCTAGTTTAGATAATAATTTCGGTGTTTTTTTTGTTTAAAATGCTAGTAAAAAAATTTGAAATATATATTCTTTTCATGGATTTTTTTATTTACAGTGATGGCTATTTCCATAAACAACAGCCTCATATATATACCCATATATATATATATATATACGTGTGTTAAATACAAATTGTATATCTTTCAATTCAACCTTGAAAATATAAAAAATCCAGGTCGAACGGCGGTGTGTATGTAGCTTTATATATATACATATATTTAGGTGAAGGTATTATTCTTTTGAATCGATTTCTTGATATTTGATATTCCTAATATAAAAAAGGAGAACAAATACAGAAGGAGGGAAATGCTGTTCTTACTTTTCTATAAAATTAACTTTTTGGTATCTTTAATATAATAAAAGTAATATATAATCATCGTTGTTATTTTTTGGGTAATCATATAAAAATACCCAAATTTTTATAAAAATCCCAAATAAATACCCGAACTATAAAATTGTCATATAAATACATGAACTTTTCAAAACTCCCACATAACTACCCACACTTTTAATTTTTTTTCCAAATCAAACAAGCAACTACTGACTCAGCAAAAAGATGCTGACTCAGCAAAAAAAAACTGATGACTCATCAAGCAGTAAACTGCTGACTCGTCATTCAAAAATATTATTAAATGTTCAAATATTCATCTACATGTATTTAAATTAATATATGCATATAAATTCACATATATATACAAATATATATATATAATAAAAATAAAAATATTTATAATTAATAAAACACATATACACATAACTATAATATATATATATATATCATTACTAATGCATATATATTACAATAAAAATAATTATAATTAAATTTATTATTAAAAATAATAATAATGCATAAAAATAATTATATATATATATATTATGTAAATATATTAGTATTTTAAAATAATAATAATGCATTATTATTTTTAATAATTAAATTTATTTTTAGTATATATATTACTAATGTATATATATTAAAATAAAAATAATTATAATTATATATATATAATAATGCATTATTATTATTATTTTAAAATACTTATTAAAAATAATAATGCATTATTATTATTTTTATTTTATATGTGTTTTATTAATTATAAATAATTTTATTTTTAATATATATATATATATATATTTGTATATATATATGAATTTATATGTATATATTAATTTAAATACATGTAGATGAATATTTGGATATTTAGTAATATTTTTGAATGCTGTGTCAACAGTTTTTTGCTGAGTCAGCAGTTGCGTTTGTTTGATTTGGAAAAAATTTAAAAGTTTGGGTATTTATCTGGGAGTTTTGAAAAGTTCAGATATTTATATGACAATTTTATAGTTCGGATATTTATCTGGGATTTTTGTAAAAGTTCGGATATTTTTACGCGATTATCCCTTATTTTTTAGATTTTTTTTGTAAAAGAATAATTTTTTAAAAAAAAGTAGTATACAAGAGACCACCTATACATATACTAGACACTATAAGTATCAAGCCTATTTAAACAAATATTATAAATCAAAAGAAATAAATTCTTCAGATGAGATTAGGTGGAGAAAATGAAAATTTTGATTTAAAAAAAGGAAAAGGAGTTTATTGAAAATGAAAACAATTGAACGTTATGAAAATATATTAGCTTTATTGATATTAATTTTCTAAATATATAATATTAATAATAATAAATAAGGTTTGTAATCGTAAAAATATTCATTGTAACTTTAAAAGTATATAATATTACTTGTGATTCATTATTTTATTTCTGCTTATGTCTAGATATCACAATTTATAAACATATTGTTAGTCATTATACTTTGCAATGTCGAAAGCAGAAGAACAAACAAGGAAGAAGAGGAAGATGGGAGACGGAAGAGAATCAGATGCGACCAAATGGCCGAAGATCAAACCCAAACAGAATCTCAAAGTCTCTTATCTCAAAAATCACGATCTCTTCACGGTACGTCTCTCCCCAATCCTCACGCTGTTTGATTCTTCCCATTGCGCTCGTCTGGTTTGTTTTCTTTTGGGTTTCCGTCACGATTCAATGCGATCAATTGTTTTAGGGTTTCGTTTGCTGCATCGATTCTGCGTAATTCTCGAAACCCAGTTGTAAATTTTGCAATCTATATCGGTATCTGCTGATGGGTTCTTATAATTTCAGTGTGAGAAAGCGAATTTTGATTGTTTTAAGGTAGAGACTGTTTTTGCTTTGCAAGATGTAATCGACGTGTGTAAATTTTCTGCCTAAGTGTGAAATTGATTTGGACCAGTCGAACTATTGGATTCTTTTCTGCTTTGTTTATGCCCAACTCTCGAAGAACTATTGAATTCTTCGAGCCAGTCTTGTCATCCGAGTTACTGATATGCCAAATTTGCTGCTGCTTGTGTAAGGATTTGACCAGTGAGTCACCGAGTTTTGTTTGATATCTCTGATCATCATTCATCATTTTCTGTGTTTTCAATGATTAGGGTTCATGTGCGTATTATGTTTGGAACCAATTATGTTAACCGAGTGATGATTTCACGGAGTGAAGCAATATTAAAGGATTCAGTAGCTCGATTGAGAGTTATAACAGGGTTGCGATTTCAGGTGCAAAACTATTTCACTTCCGATGAATCGAAGGCCTTTGTTAAAATTGCCGAGTCTATGGGTTTTACTCACCAAGGAAGTCTTGGCCCTGCCAAAGGTGAGGCTTATAGAGACAATGACCGAATCTCCGTGAATGATCCTGTTCTTGCGGATACGATTTGGCAATCCGGGCTTTCCAAATTGTTTTCCGATATCAAGATTAAGGGGAAGATCGCTGTTGGCTTGAATCCAAATATCAGATTTTACAGGTTAATCTAGTTTCTGCTCCTTAAATTTTACCCCAAAGTATGATATTTTCATTTTTCTCGCCTGGAATTAAGACGGATGTCAAACCTGTTAGGTTAGCTCTGAGTCTAATAATTGTTATTACCATACTTATGAGATTGAAGGTTTAAGTTCTGTGAAAATGTAAAAGTCTTTTGTCTTGATCTTGATACCCTTCTCCAATGCAACTTGATCTGTTTCTTTATGCCACTATGTACACAAGGGGACAACATCGTATACTTTGTTCGCCCCATGAGATCAAATTCCTAAATTTTCTTGCACATTGTGAGGATTGGATTACAGAATCTTGTCCGAATTTGCAGGTACAGTGCTGGCCAACGTTTTGGTCGTCACATCGATGAAAGCGTCGATCTTGGAGATGGAAAGGAAACACATTACACGTTGTTGATATATCTGAGCGGCGGCGGCAACAACAACAACAACGGCCCGAAATCAAAATCCAGGAGCAAGTCAAGTGACTCCAATGATTCTTTACCACAGCCTTTAGTCGGTGGAGAGACCGTCTTTTACGGGTCAAGAAACAGTGTGGTAGCTGAGGTAAATTCCTGTCTTTATATTTTCACTTTCTTGAATGTATTTGCTGTATTCAGTGAATAGATTGATCCATTGCAGGTGGCTCCGGTGGAAGGTATGGCTCTGTTTCACATCCATGGAGACAAGTGTATGTTGCACGAAGCAAGAAACGTCTCGAAGGGCATCAAGTACGTTTTCCGCTCTGACGTAGTTTTCGCTTGAATCACATTATTCAAGTTTTGTTTCTCTTCTCACACTAATCACATTCATAGAACATGTTGTCACTGTCCTTTGACGTTGTGCTCATTGCTATTTACCGCTGGTCCAGCCTAGGACTCTTTATTCCGTTGGTGAACTGCGTGCCGTTTCTGTTCATGGAAAACGACACGCAGTTGATATCCATTTGGAGAAAACACCGTGGAGGCGTGTGAATACAAATGTCTCAAGCAAACCCAATAGAGAAGTATATTTTCATAACCGGCCATTATATTGGTCGGCTTTACATTATTATCCAAAATAATCAATAACCAAGTTTCGTATATAGAACTCTTCTCATGGTTCCAATTTTCTGAAAGATTTTACTTAATTGACGAAACGGCAATTAACTCTCACTTCTCCGACCTCTTTCACCCCGACGTTTCCGAGTTTCACCATCGAAGCTCCAAACTCTCTGAAAAACGCGGTTTTGTCCCGTGCGAATGTCTCGACGATCCACTTTGTCCTAAGATCGCCGAGAAGTGCCTGGTCCGAGCCGAACACCCCTTTCCCTGCCAATATCTGTTTGTAGTAGTCATTGTCGAAAACCGAAGAAGTGGAATCCAAGAACTGCCCTGCGTTCTTGTCTCGCTTTAGTTTCGGGCAATTCTTTCTCAGAGTTTGGGCGAAATTCTCGTTCATTGAAGGGTCGATGTCGTGGAGAGAACTGAAGTTTTGAAGACGGGATTCAAAGGAAGAACAATGAGAAAACCCTAACGTGTGCCCTCCCGAGAGTGTAACCATGTCTTTAATCCCTAAGCCTCTCGCGCCAAAGCTTTGGATCAGTTGGGAAACGTTGAAAGTCGGAGCAGGAAGATTGATCGTCTCGTTGGCTCGGGAAATTCTTCCGTCTTTCCGTCCTTTGAGTACATTCCAATAGGGACCTCCGGACTAAAGAGAAGAGAAGATTTCAGGACAAAACATAAAGATCAGTTAACGTTTCGAATTTTGTGTCTATGGATTCACTCACTCACCAATGTGACCACATCTCTTGCTGCGATAGCTATTATATCGGCACAAGACACCTTCCGAGGACATGCTTTTTCGAGCTTAGTTTTGGCATCATCGATCACGTAAAATGCCCGGACCGAGATGTTTGGAGGGCCATCCTTCTCGGCTTGGTTAGTCCGAGTCGAGTCCAGTAGAAGCGATGCATCACAACCCTACATTAACCCAGAAAAAAAAAACAAATTAAACAGTCGGCCGAATCATTATACACATGTAAATATATAACATTTTCTTATTAGACTAATTAAAACTCTATGTGTGTGTATATATATATACATTGACATTTTCACAAATTCATATTATCAGGAGACGTTAGACTTTATTCTTCATCGATTCGTCGTTTATTTTTTCACGTAAAAAAAAGGAGGAAAAAAAAAGAGCGTACCCGGATAAAGCAGTCGTGGAAGAACATACGAAGGATGCGAGCAGGGACCTTAGGATCATGCAATGTCGCGTTTCGAACGGTTTCGAGAACGATTTTCTCCGCGGCGGGACACAATCTATCGTAGTAACGAGCGTCGAGGCTGGCCTCGGATGGATTAAGCATCGCCAATACGACGAAAATTATCGAAGAGACGAGATTTGTCGAGAATGACATCCTCGACGTTTTAAGCCAAGGAAAGTGCGCAAACTAGCTAGGGTTTGTAGAAGTTGTGTGTTGAGGAGAGGATGAAGAACAAAGGAAACGTACTATTAATTGGTTTATTTATATGCAGAGAAAATGTTAAGAAGACTGCGAACCAAATATTTCTAGAAATGTGAATTCGTATAATATATGCTTTAAAGTCACTCAAATCGTTAGAACAGACATGAATATATTCGCGAGTTATATACTATTTGATATATGGTCGTACTTTGAGTCTAAGCATAAAGTTATGTACTAGCATGTGTCCGTGCCACGCTGGATTGAATGAATTGAATTCCGAATAGAAAATTCTATTACCTGATGAATTTAATTTTTTTATCGAAAATATAATATTTGAGACGCGAGATTTATTAATTAGATATAAATAGTGGTGGGTCTAATTTTTTTTACGATAATTATGAAAGATAAAAATTTAAATAATAACACGTGCCCCCGTGTATTATGTATGTACAAGTATCAAATATTGTGTACATGAACTAAAATCAGAAATAATTTTCGTATTTGATTAAACTCTGAGATTATTTTCTTTTTACGTAATTGAATTTTACGTATCACAGAAATATTCATATTTATTATAAACATAAACACTGAAACTTGAGATACGAAGACTTGATCAATATAAATAAATTATCGAATCTTCATAAAATTTTTTTAATAAAATTCATAATAGAATAGAATTTTTTTAATATACGATGTGTATTAACCGTGTAGATTAAACATAAAGATATGAAATTCGGAGGCGACTGTTGGGTTATATATAACTATCAGGGTTTGGTTCAATGCTGAGGCGTACGGTTGGTGAAGCATTTTGTTGTACTTTTACATAAATTTATATACACATATATATGTATACATGTATGTATGTAAGTATGCATATCGCCCTCACGAGAAGATTATTAAATTCATTTTTACGCGTCTTCCATCACGACTTCATCCGCAGCTCTGATTTTGTTCCAAATTTATAAAAGAAAAGAAACGTCCATTTCAGGAAAGACTTAAGTGTTGATATTATTAACAATCTTACTCAATCAAATAATATTTAATTGCATTTATATTGAACTACCCAACAAATTGATTGAATATGACTTTTATTAAACCAAATTAATTAAATATGAAAATAATCTAAAAAATAGAACCAGAATAAAAATCTTTTAAAAAATATTTTTAAAATAAAATTGGATTAACCGAAAAAAAACTAACATAAAAAAATTGAAAGAATATAAATTCTTCGAAACATAAAAACCTGGAGAAAAAAAAATGACCGAATTAAAACCGAAACATAACTCGAAAATGATAATTTCTAATTACAACGGCACAAAAAAATGGTATAGATTTTTTCTTTATTTGCCCTTTTTTACACCTGTTTTTCTTTTATATTTTAGTTTTAATATACATTTGATTCTGATACACCTCATAATGTATATTCAACTCCAGCTGTTAAAGTTTTAATTTCGAATGGCATATGTATTGGTTGGATGGGAAAAAAAAAAGGAAAAAGAACCACACGAAAGGAGTATGAATGTGCATGTTTATAAGAAAAGGTTTATTTCTTAAAGAAAATTTTCTAATGATATATTCAAAAGTGAAAAAAGAAAAACTATGATATACTTTATTATTATTATTATTATTATTATTATTATTATTATTATTATTATTTTCGATAGAGAGGAATTGGCAACTACTTTTACAAAAAAAAAAAAAAAAAAAGGAATTGGCATTCTAAATGCTTCGTAGGATATAGTTGACAAACAAAGAAAACAGGAAAAACATCTTTAATTAGCGGCTATCTGAAACATTATGGGTATTGGGTTGGAGATGACCGATTTCGAATATGAATAGTTCGGATTCTATGGTTTGGATTTCGATTTTGAATCCGTTATCGATAATATACCTAAGTTTGATATATGGCCCGTGTCACCATATATATAATATATATGCTACGTGCGCACATTATATATCCTTAAGTTTTCCGATTTCATCGTTATTTTCATATATCGGAAAACAGTACGTAAAAGCTTATATGCATGCATGCATACACCGTTACGTTTGGATAATACGTGGATGAAAACGATTACAAACACCGAGATTGTTTATTTCTTTAGTTAGGAAAGTGAACCTCATTCTTTGCTCCTCCTTATGGCTCTTCCTCTTTGTCGGAACCCGCTCTCTCTCGAAGTATCATCTGGCCCATGTACCTGCACAAGAACTCGGAGGAATCTACCATTATAATAATTCTCAGACAACAGCAATAGAGTTGTGTTTATTTGTATTAGAGATAATTATGAATATAGATATACTTGTAATTTTCATTATTTTGTATATATATGATTGTGATTATGTTACCTTCCGAGCATCATGACTGTGGCTTGAGGATTAGTCCCCGGAGATTTAAGAAACGTGGATCCATCGATGACTCTCAAAGCGTCGACACCGAAAACCCTATAGTTCTTGTCGACAACTTTTCCAACTTGACAACCTCCATGGTAATGCCAAATCGTCGTCACGGTATCGATACAAAACTGCTCAAGATCGAACGCTGCAGTCACATGTCTCGGCCTCAGATTGGTCGGAACACTCAGCATCAGTTCCAATAACTTCGGAACAGACATGTCCGGATACCGAAACTTCGAGAATGCAGTCGTTTGGATCACTTTGATGATCGTGCTAAGCCCTTGAATACACTTCCTCAGATCCTCTGGTTCTTGGAAGTAGTTGAATCTGACAGAAGGGTTGTCTTCTGGTTTCGTGGTCCGAAGCTCCAAATGTCCTCTCGACATTGGTCCCGAGACTTTCTGCATGATCACACCTGCTCTTGTCGTTACATTCAAGAGAGAATCCATGGATCCGAGTTTGTCTTCTATGGATTGGGTCGAAAATGTTGTAGGGTTAAGATTTGTCTGCAAAATGCATGAAGCATGCAATTTATTATATATATATACGTTTCGTTGTAACTTATAACATGTAATACAGATCATAAAAAGAAAAAAATTACTAAACGTCATATGGACTAGCTACTCGTCTTCTCCTATATTGGTTCTCCAAATTAGACTAAATGGAAATGAAGTATTCAAATTTAAGATCGACGGAGAGAGAATATATATATATATTGGTTTTATGAATATTCACAATTTATCTTTTATAAAAAAAATGATCCATATATATGCCATTATTTCATACATACACAGACTTTAAAAAGATCAGGTGTCCATATTTAGATGGTATTCGAACTTATTGCTATTTATCCACAGAAGACCCATCTAAACTAATCTGATCGAAACGGTATCGATACCTACACACACACACATATGTATATAACATATATATATAGATATAGATATAGATATATATAACGCTTGTACCTCGTTGAGAAGATCCAAGAGTCCTTCAAAGAACTTCCGAGTCGGACCATAGGACAAGCTCAAGCCGCTCGCAGCTTCGATGTAACTATCAAACTCGGTAATACCAACGACTTGCACGAGGGACACTTCCACGGGCAAAGGAGAAGGTATGAAGAGTGCGTTCATGGGGTTGTCTCCCATCCCCTGCCCCACCATCGGCTGATCGACCAATGGCTCAATGCCACGTGTCAAGAGGTGGGCCACCGGGCCGACACCACTGAGCATCAGCAACTGGGGGCTACCGATGGCCCCGGCCGAGAGGATGATGTCGTTGAGGGAGTTGTCCGCCAGCTCAGCCTTGTGGACCACTCCGTTCGTGTCCTGAAATATCACTCCGTTGGCTCTCGGTCTTGGCTTATCTGTCCGAAAAATCCATATTTTTAATTAAGAATTTTAAATTTTTAAATGATTTTGAGCACATTAAGTTTAGATTATATTGTGTTACCGTAATCAGTTGTTTGGTTCATTAGTTATATCAACAGGTTTGATTACAGAAACAATATGATAAACTAATTGTTGAAATAGTTTTATTAGTCTAATGATATCGAATTTCTGAATATCGGAAAAATAATTCTGAATCTAGTATTGTAACATAGGAGTGAATAAATTATATATTAACAGTCTAATCCATAGTTTTGGATCAACATAAATGTAGAAAAAAATTATTCTCACAATATTGGTGTAAAAATTCGATACTCCCTCAATTTTTAAATAATTATCATTTTAGATTTCACAATTTTTAACAAAATATAAAGAAAAAGTCATACAACATTGTCAATTCATATTTACATTAGTATTATATTAAAATTAGATATTTTAATTATGGATAAATTTGAAAAAATTACTAAAAATTAAAACATTTTTTTTCTCTAAAATGACATCTATTTAGAAAGGGAACTAAGGGAATAAGAGATGCCTAAACTAGAGGTTATAACTTTTAATTTATTAAAAATTTATTTCCTTTAATTTTCAATTCCGTCCATTATAAAAAATGTAAATAACAAAATGGTATCTAGGTATTAATTAATCCCTATTTTTTTTTCAAAATAAAAATTAGATCTTTCAGGTTCTTAATTTTTAATTAAATGACAAATTTGACCTATAAAAAAATTACTCACAATACACATCTAAATCAATTAAAGAATTGATCTTATGGTTATTGAAAATAATGGCACCTCTACTATCTATTATTACCTTGGGTGGTGGTGAAGAGGATCTTATGAACAGAAGCATGCAAGTAGACGACAAGTCTCATGGGATCAGCGTACTCCAATAAGTCCGCAGCCGTGTGTCTGTGTCCGGACCGATCAAAGATGGTCCCACCGATCTTCGTCCCGTATATATGTTCGTACGTGAACCCGTTGTACGGAACCACCCCCGCCTCCACCAAGCCATCCCTCACCGCTGACTGCCACGTCATCACCGGCGGCTCGAACGCTACTTTTCTCTCAACCCACTCATAAGCGGCCTCCACCTCCTCCTCGTCCCACTCGGCCTCCCTCACGTAATCCTCGCTTGCGCGCGTGTAGAACCCGGCGTTGAGCACCGACCCTCCTCCAAGCACGCGCGCGCGCGTGTTGTACACGCCATCCTCCGATACGAAGAGCTGCGACCAGGAGCCCGGTGTGATCTCCAAGAGCGTGGTCGTGAAACTGTCCATGTCCGTGGCCTTCGGGTCCTCGTAGGGCGAGCCACCACGCTCGAGGACCAAAACGGTGGCGTTTTGGGAGAGAGTGGCGGCCAAGGCACAACCGGAGGTCCCTCCCCCGATGACTATGTAGTCGTAGCTGGAGACCGCCGGTGCTAATGATGCATCTTTCATGAATCTGTAATACGGACCTACGCAATACATATATATATATCAAAATATAACAGATTATCACTATGTATGTATATATTATACCAAGAATCTTGTTTATCGACTTCATGCGAAGATCAGTGAGTTCATGTCTGGACCGTATGTCCCGACCTGATTATATAATTCATTCGAGAAAAATATGATTGGATCATCATAATATATATATATATATAGAGGGAATTAGGGGTTTACCTCTTTGTGAGTAACATGATCCATGAAAGATGAAGGTTGCGAGAACAAGAAGATGAACGAATCTGAAAATGCGGAGGGCCATTATTTTAGTTTGGCAAGAACTCTTTGGATGTGCGATATATATTTGAATTGAAGAATTAATTAAAGACTATAGTTTTTATGCCCCTTTATATATACTTCCTCCGTTTCTAAATAATTTTCGTTTTAAAAATTTTCACACTTTAAAAAATTATAAAAAATGTTTTATATACCCTTATTTAATATTGTTACTAATCTTATAAATAATAATTTATTGAAATTGCAATAGTTTGAGTTAATGATAAAATTGAGAATTATTTTAAAAAATTGTCTAGAAAAAGTAGAATAATATGTATTTAGAAACAAAAATAAATGTATCAAACGTAAATTATTGTGAAACGGGTGGAGTAATATATAAGAGAAGGATCATCCTTATTATTATTATTGTTGTTGTTGTTATTATTATTATTATTATTATTATTATTGTAGTAGCTTTTATAGTTCAACTACACGTATCTGTTGGAAGTAATTTTCATATTAATGGTGATATATGGACATAAATAACTAACGTTAGACATTAAGGACCGAAACACATGTTCTTATGTCTTAATTAGGGGCGGCCGCATTTTGGACATCCAAAAGTTTCAGAATACACCAACTCTTAACTAAGGGCATCCAAAAGTCTCGAATACCCAAATTCTCGAGAAAATATTCAAAATGTTTATGGATTGACCGACCGGTGGTTTGTATTATTTGTTGTTATTTTGGATCATTTAATCTATTATAATCTGTTTTATATGGTGATAGAGGTTGTTTTATTATTATTATTATTATTATTATTATTATTATTATTATTATTATTATTATTATTATTATTATTATTATTATTATTATTATTATTATTATTATTATTATTATTATTATTATTATTATTATTATTATTATTATTATTATTATTATTATTATTATTATTATTATTATTATTATTATTATTATTATTATTATTAATTTCTAGAAGACTAGATCAATTTTATCTCTTCTTTTTTAATTAGAGAAGTTTGTTGAAATATACCAATTTTTGTTCCCATATGTGTTTGTTTTTATTCCTCCCAATTCATAGTTTCTTATAAATTAGCTATAATACTCATAATTTTATAATTTATTATCTAAAATAGTTTTAATTTGTTTCCATAAAAAAAAGAAACGTTTATTTTTCACATCTCTTGTGACACTTTTTTTTTTTCTCTCTCTCGCATTCTCCTCGATTTTTTTTCATCCCCATCATAACATTTTTTTTATTATTATTTTTCCTAATAGAAATCATGGCGGATTCCTATCTTGTAAAGAAAAGAGCATTGATGATTGAGTATAAGAGATTTAATGTCGAATAAATTTAGTTATGTATTCGACATAGGGTCCAATGCCTTAGATGTTTTTTTTTTAAATTAAGTCAAAACATATACCGTCATAATTCTTAAGTCCAACCAAGTCATATCATTTTTTTATATTCATTACAATGGTATCGATAGATATCAATGTTGTAGTGACAGTGACGATCGTTAAGTTCTTACATCATTAGTTCTTTTGGAGTCGAACTTAAGTATATCATTTGATATGGTTTGACTTATGTAACCAATAAAATTTAAATATTAAAGTATCAAACCTTGGATATATAAAAGAAATTATACATATTTAACCAATAAAAAATAAATGAAGTATTGATTTTCTATAAAAAAATATATATATAAAGATATATATTAATAAACAACTCAACTCGCGAACAAGCTCCTAACTCATCGAGTTGACTCTAATTTAAAACTAATCGGATCGAATCTAATTTAAAAACTGATTGGATAACTTTTTTAAATGAAATTAATCAAATAAAAAATAATCGGAAAATTAATAAAAGATCTCTCTAAAAACGAGTATCGGGACATAATTCAAGTGAAAAAAATCAATGAAAATTAAGATTAACCAAATCTAAATAGACTTTTAAATAGAACTGAAATACAAATATATATAAATATTTTCTAAACAATTAAATTCAAAAATTCAAACTTACTCAAATCTAACCTAAACTAAAAGCCAAAATATCTTAACTACTTACAAATATCATAATTGGGTCTCTGTTTACGGCATTGATAAGAGCATGAAGTAAATGAGTTATGCTAAAATCAGTTGACGTATTTGGTTGCTTTCTATAGCATGTGTATATATATGGAAATTGAATTCAATGAGTGCTGCTCAAATTTCTTCATTTTGTTGGTTATTTAAATTCTTTGGCTTCTTCTATATATATATATATATATATGCCCATCAAATAATAACAGCAAGGCGTAGCTCAACTGTCCCTAATGTGTAATGTGATTCGGTTTGCATTAATGTGGTCATGAGTATTTTGCATTGATTGACCGTTTAATTAGATGATGGTTATAATGAATTTAAGGAGTTTGAGCTTAATAAAAAAAAAGGAGAATGAATCCTCTTACAGAAGCTCATTAATTGGTAATAAATTACTGCATGTGTTTTAATTTTATAATCACGACATGAATTTTATTATATTTCCAAATATTACCATAAAATTTGGAAACTATATATAGCGATTTGCCATATTTTTTTCTAACATTTTTTTTTTATAATTTGATGGTGGTAATCCATATATCATATAATATCTCTGTTTAGATACATCAAAATAATATAATTTCAAATTTAGGGTTATATTTGAAAGTTTAGCATATTTAATATATTTAAAAAATTATATATTAATAGATTAAGGTGTTCATGGTATCCTCCACAGTCCACACTTGAAATGTTATATCTTCTTTCTTTCTTTCTTTCTTTTTCTCTCTAATTAATTTCTACTTCTTGGTTGGTCGCAAGTCATTCCCACTGCTTGGGGTCCTTTGCTTCAAAATGTTTTTTGGGGGCAATTTGTAAATTAATTAAAATATATATTTACAGAAACAATTTAAATTTTTATTAAGATTTAATTTTAAAATTTTAAACTATATAAATGGCTTCAAAACTAATACTAATTAATGGCTTCTTGCGTGAAGGAATTGCTGCCAATTCCCACTCGACATTTCTTCCTCGAATATTTAACCATGATGGATAAAATATAATTTACTATTTATTATTTAAACTAGTCAATATGGCTTTTCAAAGGAAATAAATTTGCTAGAAGTGATATAAAATGCAACGAGATTTCTATCATCATAAGTATTTACCTATCATTCGATGAGTTTATGCTGTGAAAAAATTAATTGATACATTGGTTGGTTAGTTACATTAATCTATTTTATAATGCAATAATAAGAATTCTTATATAAATATATATGATATATTTTCAATTTTTTTAAAAAAAACTTTCTCACGTTAATAGATATGTGTTTTTTAATTTGGTTTAGCATTAATTAAGGAAACTGTCGTTTCTTGAATAGTTGAAATGTTTCCCACATTGACGCAATAAATTAAATACAATACATTTTAAAATGTCACGCAAAGAATATCATATTTTCGGTGCCATAACCTGTCTAATATATTGAAAACCCGATTGTGGAATGAAGTATTCTAGAAACAAATCTTTTTGTACTCCAAAAGATTTAAGAGAGATATTTTTTCAATATAATATTTGAATATAAGATATTGAATTAATTTAAACTGAATAATAAATATGCAGGAATAAAAATATATAATCCAATATGATTTTTTCAAATTAATTAAATTAATCAAGCATGTAAAAGTTTAAAAATATAAAAATAATATATATATATATATACATAAACTATTATTTAAAATATTATCTTAAATTTATTTCTATTTCGGTTAAATATCATTAGTATTCTATCCCTAAAAAAATTATTAGAAACTCCTTAATAAACAAAAAAATGATTTTATTTAATATAAGATTACTTGTATTATATCATCTTTTGCAATTTGACACCGTCTAATATCATTAAACAATTTTCTTTATAAAAAAAAACCCTACAGTCTTCTATTTCAATAAGTTCAAAAATATCTTTAATTTCAATAACATATGTAAAATGGCTTTTGTTTACATTGAAAAACAAATGGCTTTTGTTTTAAATAGTTATTTTTCCAAAAATAAAATAATAAGTTGTGAAATTATTCAATGTTGCAGAGTGACATATACTCTGATGGGCCGTGTAAGCCCATTATTTAACTCGGTGACAGTCTTTTGTTCAGTTCGGTCACCATGAAAATCGTGAGCTACTCTTCCCGCCGATTCGCCAGCTTGAGGACGAATTCTACTCTGGATCGAAGAACGTTTCTGAAATCAACCTCCATTGATGCTGCTAAGGAGCTCCATGCTCATCTCATTAGAACCCATCTCCACACGGACCCGTACTCGATCTCTTCAGTGATCAAAGCTTACGCTCTGTCTCCGTCACATTTCAGTAAAGCCCGTATCGCTTTTGATCAAACCAAACGACCCACGTTATTGATATGGAACTACATGATCCGCGGTTTATCTCTCGGCGATCGACCCGACGAAGCAGTCCGAATGTACCGTCTGCTCTGTCGTCGGGGACTTGTCGGAGACAATTTGACGTTTATTTTCGTTTTGAAGGCGTGTTCTCGTGTTTCGGGCACTGTCCTGGGGGAGGAGATTCATGGTCGGGCTCTGAAACTTGGGTTTGAATCGTATCTCTTTGTGTCGAACGCTTTGATCCATATGTACGGGTTGTGTGGTTGTGCGAATATTGCACGGAAGGTGTTCGATGGAATGTTGGAAAGGGATTTGGTGTCGTGGAATTCGATGATTTGTGCGTATAGTCAATGTGATATGTATGATGAAGTCCTGGTTCTGTTCGAATCGATGCGAGATGCTGATGTTGAACCTGATGCGGTGACATTGGTGAAAGTGCTCTTAGCCTGTGGTCATTTGGGTAAACAGGAGACTGCAGATTCTGTGATGAAATATATAGAAAAATCTCAAATTGAGATTGATGTTTATTTGGGGAACACTTTGATAGATATGTATGGGAGAAGAGGTTCAGC